TTGATTCTTCGCATGGTGTACGGACCGGCATTGCTGGCCATCTTATTGCCGCTTCTTATCCCAGAATCAGTCAGGTAATTTTCCTTACTTGATCGCTTAATTCGCATTGTCCGGAGGCCTCGTTAAAGATCTCGAAAAGAATTTCTTTAAACGAACGGGAGAAGTAGTCACGCGTATTACGGTCGATTAACCGGTGAATCTTTCACGTCATATATTTAATTGGATCCGATTCTCTCTTTCTCTTTGATTAATTAACGCGTATACCGTGCGTAGGCCGCTTATAATCTTAGGTTCATATCATTTTAGCGAATCACTTTCTTATCTCGTTCCTTTTTTTTTTGTGTACGCCATAGGTTATCGATAAAACGTGTCCTATACAAGCATAAAAACTATCGTTTTCCCCTTCGAACATTACTCTAGAAAAAAAAAAATGAATGAACAAACAATGAAAAAAAAAAAAAACACACACACACAATGATGCCATTTTAAAGGTGGCTATTGGCGAATGGGAAACAGGAAAAGGTGGAGAGTATATATCGAAAAATGGCGCGTATAAACGGGCTTCAAATCTCGGAAGAGGCGATCGGAGCGTTCAAAGATTTGAACATGGTGAAGACTGAAAAGGTAAGACGAATTGACAATTTTTAATAAAACCGAATTAAATTAATTACGCCTGACTAAATTTATCTTATTTTTTCAGACGGAACAAATAGTGATGACCGAAAAGAAGTCACCGATTATGCAAATATTGAATAGCTCGGTGATGCTCACTCGGTTGTTGGTGTGTTCGTTTTGCTGGTTGACGAACACTTTCGTCTATTATGGATTATCGTTGAATTCGGTGGCTTTCGCTGGTGACAAATACGTTAATTTCATATTGGTCGCCATCGTGGAAATCCCGGCTTACTTTTTGACCTGGTTTCTGACCGATTACATCGGCCGTAAAACTACTCTCTCCTCGTCTTTTTTGCTGAGCGGAGCTTTTTGCTTGGCTATACAATTCGTACCTACAGGTAAACACAAATTCATTCTTGAAATTTCTCATTCTTGTAATTTACAGCGCTATGAATACTTTTGATTAATTACAAAAGAGGATGTTAAATATCGACACATTAACTTTCTATTATTTCTTCCAGATTCATTGAACTTTCTACCATTGATTCTGTACATGGGCGGGAAATGGTGCATTACGATGTCCTTCTCGACGATTTACATTTATACAGCGGAACTGTTTCCCACAAACTTGAGACACTCCCTCCTTGGAATTTGCAGCATGACTGGCCGCATGGGGTCAATATTGTCACCGCAAACTCCTCTTTTGGTGAGTCGACTACCGCAAGAATGTACATCGCGGAGATCGATACGGACCGCTTGTTGATTGTTTGCATACTACTTCAAACAATATGGCAAAGATTCTATATCTTTACATACCATTTATCTTTTGTGTAACTTTATTTATTGCATTGTGAAATCGTTATATTGATTGATTGATTATCATCCATTCAGGAGATATTATATTTTTTATTTTCCAATTAAAATGTTATATTGTCCACGATTCCGTTTCTAAAAACAATTGCCACAGAATAGTTAGTTTTTTTTGTTTTTTTTTTTTTTTGTCTATTTACATAGCTATTTTTATGTCACAGGCACAATTTATGCCCGAATTACCATTGATACTCTTTGGATGTATGGCGCTATTCGCGGGACTGCTTTCTTTGTTCTTCCCGGAAACGTTGGGAACGAAACTTCCGGATACAGTGTGGGAGGCAGAGAATATCGGCAAAGAGCAGCAGAAGCAGGAATTGCAGGATTTGCCGTCTTAAGAACGGACGAATATATCGGGACGAGTTATAAATCCGACACGAAAAAACATATAAAAATGGAAGAAAGAGGGAGAAAAAGAAAAAAACCAACGAGACATAGAAGAGACGAGAATTAAGAAGAAATCAAATTGAGAAAAAATGAAAGAAGCAAAAGAAACGTAACATTGCAGCAATGGCTTTCAAAAGTTTCCCTTTCTTCCGGCATGAAAACTATCGACCGTGACTATTCGCTTCGCGGTTTGAAAGCTCGCGAGAGAGAGGCAGAAAAAGAGAAAGAGAGAGATGAAACATGCGGTAAAACTCCGGAAGTGAAGGGAGCTTAAGCGTACTTCTATATATGTATGTATAATACCTGCAGAATATTTGCTTGCCTTTGAAATTGACATAGTTCAATCGCGATCAATTTGCCATAAAATCGACTAGTTACAAAGAGTCGACGAGTCATCAATTGTAGAGGAAATGATAGAGGAGAATGAAAAAGTTTATCCCGAGGGAAAATTGGCATCATATTGGTAAAGAAAGTTCGGAAAATTGAAAGGTCGGAAAAATTTGAAACATTATGGAAATTTAATTCAAGAGATGATTTTTTGTTCTGGTAAAAGGATGAAATTAACTTTCAAAAAAAAAAAAAAATTCTTGTGAATAGTTATAAATTGTATAAGATATGTTCAAAATATATGATATATCTTTTTATTTTGATAATCAATTATCTATCTAATATCATTTTGATATTCAATTATTTATCTAATCTAGTATATTTGAATTCATTTTTGATTTTAGAAGATAAAAATTGGTGTCAATGATTACAATTTTATATTATTATTATATAAGATTTATATCATATTCGACATACTTTTTAAATTTAAAAAGTAAATATGTACATTTAAAATATGTTATTAATCTTACTAATTGTTTTAAAAAATCACGTTTGAAATTTATTTTATGCAATGAAACGAAATCTCCTTTGAATAAAAAAAAAAAATTTATTGCTTTTAGATTTCATTTTCGTAAATCCATGTCATGAATGATATATCTTCTGTCCAAAGATTACATGAAATATCAGTATTTTATCAATACATATTCTGCTATAAGATAAATTATATTTATTTTTAACACATCTTATAAAATGAATTACGATATTTTACTTTACATTGTCGATTTGAAGTGTTATCTTTGTTAATATTTGTTAAATTTGTTTTCACTAGTTTTAATAGTTTGAAAGTTCGTAAAATGTTAATTAAAAATATTTTTTGCGCTTTAGAAAGCGTGCTTCAAAAGTGGAGAATACTTGGAGAGCAATTGACGAAGTGATTGAAAAGCATTGCTTTTATGCAAAAATTGACATACACAATTATTATTGACCCGCTTTTTATCCGACAAATAATTACAATTTCCAAATATCAGTATATATAGCAAAATATCGATACATTGTATCACGCACAATTTACTTGCGAGTCTATGCTATTGAGTTATTTATGTATCATATTCTAACAAAAGATAAATTACTTTTTACAACAGATTTTTATCTATATGATTAATAACATGATAACAAATAAACTACATGATATAACAGAGAGCTCGATAGCATAATTAAAGATTACAATACGTGTAAATTTTGAGAAAAGAAATACTTTTAAAAAATTCTTTATTACCATTTGAATTTAAATATTCACAAGAAAATGAAATATATCATATTTATTTCGAGGGTTGATTTCACATTCTATAAATTATATTTTTACCCAAATAAAAAGTTAAATACCTGAAAAGTTTCAAATTTTTCTGTATTTTATTGAAACATTGAAATTTTTTTATAAATGAATAATTTATATTTATTGCTTACAATTACCGGATACCGCGCGAAATCGTTTCACTTTCCTTTGTTCGTATACGTCATCCGTTTCATGAATTTTTAATGCGATTAATTATAGCTCATTGCAGCCAGTTAAGGTTATCATTGACGTATCCGTGTTATCAGACGTCAAAACGTCTTCGTATAATGGGTAACGCATACATATATACGCACGTCATAGATTACCGTATGATGCTTCTTCCATTTAGGAATGAAAACATAATTATGCTCAGGAATTTACACAGTATTGCTGCATCATGTTCGTAAACATATATATTAATCGGTAATTATGTCAGGCCCTGTCTGTATTTCTGATTTAAATATTTCAGAATTATATCGATCATCTACTGCAAGGACTATAAAGCATCGTGCCATGATAATGCATCATCTAGAAAAGTGAAGTTAATAATAGTAATAATTTATAATTTCATGTATAAATATATATATATATATATTTACGTGAGAATATTATTATTCTGAACAGGAACGAATGAAGAATTAGATGAATCAGTAGACGATTTATAATACTGATGATAAATTAGCCTTAATTTTAATTATTATTATTATTTTGAGAGCGAATATGCCTACCTATTAAATATCCGTAATTCTAAACGAGTACTTCACCGATGAATATTTAATTAACTATGTACAAAGCGTATAGAATAATTGTAAGAATTGTATAAGAATATACACGGTGATATATGTCACGGTGCTGTTCCAGAGGATTATGGAGAACGATTGTATCAAGAATGATACTCGTGACGATGGAAATATTTTGTCAGGCTATTTGCAATAGCTCTTATGAAAACTGAACTATTTCAAGTGAGTATTATTAATTTGTTGCCATAGAGTATTAACTGAAATATTATGTAAATATTTACGAATACGGTGATATCTGCGTGATACGAATAATTCACAAGCTTGTACATAGAACGTCGATATCGCGTAAGATATTTCCATCGTGTTGCGAGTTGCAGAATATATATCGACCCACTTCATAAATAATCATATTTGTTAAAATCGAGATAAGAATATTCATATATAATAAGGTATACCAGACATTAATGTAACATAATAAGATGTATACATAATTCTGAATATACACAAACATTTATGAAATCTTGCTTGTTGTTAATATTACCTTCATCTGCCGGAGTTCAAAGTTCTTGCTATACTTTGAAACAGTATCTTGAGAAACTTCTATTTATACATTTAAACGTAATACTATATCTAACGTGATTTATTTTTAACCAATTAGTTTTTTATTTAAGTTAAAAAAATCCAATTTGATTCTTTCAATACAAGGTGTTGATATATTTATAGAACTTTTTTTGAAAAAATTTTAATGTAATTACTTTGATCTCTGGAATCGATCCTCAAAAATATTTCGTAAATGTATTAACAATTTATGCTGGAAATAAGATTCATTTAAAGAACTCCATTTAAAAAAAAAAGTTGATACGATTGTCGGATGATTCTCTTTATAACAAATAACTTTTATTCGACAAATTTTTCTCTTACTCTTATAATTTTTGAAGATAATTCAAATGTTTATTTATTTATTTATTTTGGATCTCCCTGTGTAATTATACTTTTTTACATAAAAATTAGGAGGAAAAAAAAAATATAAAAAAAAAAGAGACATCACAACATTGAAGATATTGACGTTTCTGAATATTCCGTATCTGTGTTCTCCTGGATTAAATGAAAGTACACCGCTATTATCTACTTTCATTTGGATGAAATGGAAGGCAAAGTTGCCTTTTGTGATGCATAAAAGAGTTAGATGCGACGCGAGATCCGGCGCTTGATATTAAAGTATTAATGCCGCGTAACACCGTTTCCATCCCCGTCCGAGGGATATTTTAATATAAACGGGGGATTTAGATATTTCACTTTGACAAATTCTCGACCTCCAACTGCTCAAAGGAAATTGAAGCTAGCCAACGACTGCAGTAGGGCCGTGTACACGCGATGCGGCTGGTTATTTTATGTTTACAGATGACTCGACATCCCATAATAAATATCGTTGCCCGGTCCACAAATCTTCGGTGCATCGCATTTGTCCCCGTTTCTTTTTTCTTATTCATGAAACCGCGCCGGACGTCCTCTCCTTTTACGTATCTTGGCGCCGTTGGCCACCGTCCCGCCTTAACATTATGAAAATCTCAATAACATCGAGAGAAATATAGCTTTACCTCATCCCTTTGTAGGTATAGAACGAAACGTTTTTCTCTAGATATATTCAGAATGAATTTCTGACGAATTCGATTGACAGAGGAACAGGGAGAATCTTAATCGAGCAAATGATAATTATTCCATTCACCGACTACTTCGATGATACTCAAAGAGATTTTCATATACAAAATTTTCATTTTTAAACGCGAAACACGTTCGAACGAAATCTCGTGATTCGTGCAGACGCGTTATCACTGTGTTTCCTTTATTACCATAAACAACGAGAAATAACGAGAACGGAACGGGAGAAACACGTTAATATTCCAATAATATTCGTAATGGATATTCAACATCGGTATTGTTTCGTTCTAACGAGGACGATAAAAATTTCCTCCCTGTTGCCTCGCAATTGTTGCGAATATATCTCTCGATGGAAGAGCCACTCTGAAACAGGGGAATTTAATTAATATAATGCACGCGGATCCGCGGCCGGGTGGTAGTTTCCTTTCATCCAGGTCTCTCGATCGGTCGAACCGAGATGAATGCATCACTGTTCACCCCTTGTGAGTCTATAAATCCGGTGCTACGCGGATTCGTGCATCGGATGCATCTTCGACGAGCGCGTATCGTGTTCGCGCACCTATGTACGTACCACCTTCATCCGGGATTAACTACATGTCCGAGGGGTGGTTGGGGGTGTTGGAGAGGGGAGGATATGCTTTCGATCCGGCTACGGTTTCCCGTACAAGCGCGTTTATCGACGACCACGCGAGAAAAGAAGAGAGATGGAGGAGAAAAAAAAAATGAAAAAGAGAAAAAGAGAATTCCAGACGTGAATAATCCTGGGGAAAAGGAAAAGGCGTATCGATACACGTTTCTTTGTTCGAAGGTAGATACGTTTCCAAACGCTACCCCTCTGGTCTCCGTGGTTGCAATCCTCGTTTGAGTTAGTGCTCTACGTCTGAGTGAGATGTTGTTATCGATACTGTTCCTGGAAAAGGATAATGAAGATACGCGAATCGTTGGTCGGAGGGAAATGAAAATCGTCTCTCTCTTTTTCTTTGCTTTCCTTTGAATTTTAACATTTTTATCGTTTCTCTTTGAATTCGTGAAAACAAGTGAATCGTGTTGGGATGTATTTGGAATAATTTTTCAATTGAATAATTCGATTACTTCTAACGGTAAAAAGAAAGACCAAAGTAGATGAAATAATCTTGAAATGATCTCGAATAATCTTCATTCAATTCCATCCTTGTATCTTTATTACGCCTAACAATTTTTCAACGTGTTTTATTCTCAAAAAATCGACCAAGTATTCTTTTTATCACGTCTGGTTTCGTTTTTAAAATATGTATTCTCATCGTGTATTTTCCGAAAGGATTGTAGAACTTTAGATGGAGAATTTCAGATGGAAACGTAGCGGGTTATAGGATTTTCAAAATTTTTAATCTCCGTGCTGCTAAAACGGAAGGTTGAAACTACAACGATGGTCAATTTTTATTTTTTTTTTTTTTACAGGAAAGCGTTCTCTCCGACCGAGGTATCGATTAAACGGTTGATAGCAATTTCCTGCAGACGGCGAGCCGATTCGTTAACACGAAAATATGATACGGATTTTATTAGCGCGTGAAATGGAAGCGATTTTGTTTCTCGCGCGGTGGCACACTTTTTTCACCGGTGCTCGCGCGATTAACGCCGTGGTCCGCGTATCGTTTTGCGTTGTTACACGGCGCGGAACAGCTGGCCGAAGAGTTCAATTTTTGTCGTGGCGGAACGGGCGACGATTTAATGAAAACACAGGCGGTCGTATTTCCATGGGGAAAAAAACCTTCGACCAAGAACAATTCCACCGTCACCTGGTGAACGTGTACACCATCGCGACCGAACGAATGGGATAAGAAACGAGCCGACAACCGGAAGATAGATTTCGAGATAAAAAATGGTAGGCTATCCACGACGTTAATGATTTGTTCTGCGAATTACACGAGTTCCTGGCTTGAAAAAATTACGGGATGAAACGAAGAGAATGAACCTTTCTATATAACTGTCTTTCTACAATATAATAAAAGTATAATAAAAGTGTAAAAATATCCAAGAAATTTAATAATACATTTTTTATCGGGAGACGCGAGAGGATTAAATTTAAAATCACGCGAATATTCGGTTAAAAAAAAAAAAAAAAAAGGAAAAAGAAAAAAAAAGAAAA